ATAGGTTAGTGGCTGGGGTTTGTTTGTTTGGGGGGGTTTTTGGGGGGGGGGGGTTGAAGGGGAGGATACGCCAGATGTGCCATGTGGGTTGGTGGAGGACATAAGAAGTGACACATGGGTTGAGGAAGGTGTGAAACCCAAAGGTGCTTTTATTTTTCCGGAGGTAACTGGCCTTTCCTGTTTTTTTTCTTTGGAGACGTTTCACTTCTCATCCAAGAAGCTTCTTCAATTCTGGCTGGATGGTGGGGAATGGAGCTGAAGAAGCTTCTTGGATGAGGAGTGAAACGTTGTTAGGGATACACCCTAGCAGGATCTGCAGGGCAGTCAGTCAGGCAGGCAAAATATGTGAGATAAACGTTTTTGTAGCTTACACTCAGTAAAACAGATACACGGTGCTAATTAAATAGTTTATTCCAGCAAGAGTTAAAGCATAGTCAAAACAGTCCATATATCATTCACTTAGTTCAGTCCGTCCAGGGATTATTCAGTTGCAAATTCCAGTGTCGAAAAAGAGAGGTCAGTAAACTTACAAATATCAAAGAAAAAAAACAGGAAAGGCCAGTTTCCTCCTGAAAAAAAACCCACCTGTGGGACAACCATGGCCTGGACGACAAGAGAACCTCTACAGAAAGTATGTGAGAGTTTAACAGAGTAATTAATAGAAGGAACCCAGGAGATCTTTTAGTCCAATCTTCTCCACAGGCAGGAGGACCCTGGAGCATTGCAGACAAATGGCTGTCCAATCTCTTCTTGAAAAGCTCCGGTGCTGGAGGGTTCACAGCTTCTAGAGCAAGTGGTTCCACTGGTGGAATTGTTCTAAATGTCAGGAATTCCCTCCTTCATTCTAGGTTGCTTCTCTCCTCGGTTACTTTCTATCCTTTGCTTCTTGTCCTGCCTTCAGGGGCTTTGGAGAATAGGTTGACCCGCCTTTCCTTCGTGGCAGCCCATCATGATGTGAGTGCTCGGGGCCTGAGGGAAGGTTTGAGAGTAGAGGAGACTTACACCAGCGATCTATAACCTTCCTGCTGGCTTCCCCGTTGGCTTTCTGGGGAATCCATCGGGAAAGCTAGCAAAGGATGATCGCGGGGTGCAACCGGGTGCAAGTCCAAACAGGTTCCCAAGCACCCAGATAGGTTCAGGTGACCACAGGAGGGCACTGGGATGGCCCAAACTCCAAGAACCACAACCTTTGGAGTGATTTAGTGAATCAATGTTTATTCCCCGCGGCCTTTTCTTGCTGGAAAAGTCTGGAAACTGGCAGAAAACATTCTGAATCGCTGTTATATGACTGGAAAACGCTGCAGCCAGGTATGAAGGTGAGTCAGTTGCCAAGCGTCCAAAATGCAGTCATATGTGACCACAGACATTGAAATTCCCAAAAGGGCCATAAATAGCTTTTCAAGGGTCCATTGAAACTTCAAACAGTTATTCAGCAAGTGGACATTAAGCGATACCTACCTATAGGTGGTTTGTTTATTTGTTAATCGAATTTCTACATCACTCATCATATTTCCTTGACTCTGGGCAGTTTACAAATAAACCAGTAAAATGACATGAAGGCCATAATTCAAAACGAAGCTCACAACCAGATTAAAACTGGGTTGAAAAGAACAGTTGCTGAGTTAAAAGGCTGAGGAAGCACCTTCAACTCACCAATCACTCCAGGGGTTGCATGACACTCTTTTACACACACACACACACACACACACACACACCCTTTCAGGCCAGTTGGCAGAACCAGGTCTTAACCAGAAGGCAGGAGAGTCAGCGCTGGCCTCACCATGGGAACTTCAACAGGAGCTTTCAACTAAACCTTTCTGCCTTCTGAAAAGCAACATTTTTTTTTTACATTTGTAAACTCAGTGAAAATGGTGCGGAGAAGACAGCTGCTGCTTTAGCGTTTAGCAATCCTACTGTATTTCCCTCAAAATAATACCTAACATATATATATATGTGTGTGTATGTGTATGTATATGTATGTGTATATATATATATATATATGTTTTCTGAGGTTCTCGCGGGTATTTG